TTCCTTCCTTCCTTCCTTCCTTCCTTCCTTCCTTCCTTCCTTCCTCTCTCTCTTTTATTACTAAGACAAGGCCTTGCCATAGAGCCCAGGCTGGCCTCAAACTAAGCAATCCTTCTTTTTCAGCCTCCCAAGAGCTAGAATTTCAGGTGTGTGTCAGCATGCCTGGCTCCAATTTCCTTGTATGTTCTTTCAAATCCTCCCTCAAGAATATGAGGAACTATACTCTGTCCTTTGTACTCCTATAATAGTGGGTGTTGAACTGCTGTCTTCCATTCCGTCTTATCGTGTTTTCTGCATGTTTTATTTTCTCTGAGGACAGATATTCTTTAAGAGCAAAGACTCCCCACCGGGTAAGATGGCACAGGCCTGTGATCCCAGCACTTGGAAGGCTGAGGCAAGATGATCAGGAGTCCAAGGCCATCCTCAGCTACAAAGAGAATTCTAGGCCAGCCTGGACTACATGAGAACTTGTCTCTGAAGAACAACAAGAAAACCCAAGCACTTGGCTTCCTGGTTTCCAGTCCCTGAACCCCTGGTTTCCTGGGGTTCCCAGCAGGGCTGGCTATACAGGGCCCAACACAGATCTGGGAACCTGGCTCTGAAGCTCGAGTTTGCCTCCTTGGGGTACACTTCCTCCTCCATGAACAGTGCAAACAAACTTGTATACTCTGTATGCCTCAGTTTCTCCACTTGTGAAACAGAACAGTTTGTGCCCCTGCTTCTCTTAGGGGCATAAATTAATCCATACATGTAAGGCCCCAGGAACAGGGCTCCGTACATCACAAGTACACAGAGAACAGCACTCAGCATGAACAGCAGCAGTATTTAGGGAGGGATACAACATGGAGTCGGGTTGGCTGTTCCAGGGTGGAATTTGGGTGGCAAACCCAAGAAGATGGACAAAAAATATGCCACATTCTTTCGAGTGATAAACGCGAAGCCATTTACCTTCATGGATTTATAAAGCCGTTCAGCAAAATACGCGGGTTTGTTCCTCATACACTTCACTGTGGAGAAAATGAACGACAGGAGGTGAGCACAGGCCACGCCCCTGCCCACCAGGCCACCCCCATTCTCAGGAGTGCTTCCCTTCTCTTAATAAATTGTCTCTATTTCCATAAAAAGAAGAACGAAAAGATTACAGAAAAAAATGCAAGAACAAAGAAAACTGACAGTTATTCTGTTTCTACGAAGTCTCAAGAAATATTTCCTGCTTGCTTTGAGAGACCCATTTAAGCCAAGCAGCACTTCCTGAACATAGTCTGCACTCCAGGCCCCTCTCATACAGACAGGAAGGATCCTCGGCTTCTCAAGTTGCTGGAGAAGTCATTAAGGATGGCCATCAAAGCGAGGGTGGCTTATCATTCCAAAATGATTATTCCATCTGCCATATAAATTAGTTGTGAGGGGGCTGGAGAGACGGCTCAGGGGTTAAGAGTATTTGTTCTTGCAGAGGACTAGGGTTCAATTCCTAGCACTCACATGATTGCTTACAACTGTCTGTAAGTCCAGTTTCAAAGGATCTGACACCCTCTTTTGACCTCTGAGGGTACAAGACATGCACACGATACACAGACATACATGCAGGCAAAACACCCATACAATAAAAAAACTTAAAAATCAGTTATTAAACATAACCACCCATTGGCTTGCCAGATGCACTAGCATGGCATTATCTTTCTCCTATAATGAGAGGAAAGTGCCAAAGACCAAAACAAAGCAAAAAACACAAGTCCCCTGGCACAAGAGCAGTCAGGTCATACAACATAGTTCTTTTTGCTTTGCTTTTTTCAGTCAGGTTTTCACATAGCCCAGGCTGGTCTAGAACTCACTATGCAGCTGAGGATGCTCTTGAACTCCTGAACCTCATGGCTGCCTGTACCTCCCAAGTGCTGTAATTACAGGTGTGCACCATGTCCAGCTTTGCAAATATTTCTTGTTTAAAGTCGTAGAACAGCCAGATGGGGCTGCTCATGTCTATTATCCCAGCACTCCTAGCCAGGATAGGAGGATTGCTATAAGTTCAAGGCCAGCCTTGGCCACTGAATAAGACTATCTAGAAAAAGAAAAGTCTGGGGCTAGAGAGATGGCTCAGTGGTCAAGAGCACTGGCTGCTGTAGCAGGAATCTTGAAAGGTCTTATTAATAAAATCAAACCTGAGGCCAGGTATTGGGGTGAATGCTGGGAGATCAGAGAAGCAGAACAAGCCACAGCTACCTCACCTTGCCAGTTCCTCAGCTGATCCTGTTTTCTCAGACTGGAAGCTTCTGAGTCCTCATATCCAAATGGATCTCAGCTGAACTGCTGCTAGAAGCCTAAAAGCTTAATCAGCCAAATGCTTCTAGTTCCTGGTCCTCATGCCTTATATACCTTTCTGCTATCTGCCATCACTCCCTGGGATTAAATGCTCACTTTCTGGGATTAAAGGCGTGTGTCACCATGCCTGGCTGTTTCCTTGAACTCACGGAAATCCAGACCGATCTCTGCTTCTGGAATGCTAGGATTAAAGGCGTGTGCTTCCACTGCCTATCCTCTATGTTTAATATTGTGGCTGTTCTATTCTCTGACCCCAGAAAAGTTTATTAGGGTGCACAATATTTTGGGGGAACATAATATCACTACAGGCTGCTCTTGCAGAGGACCTGAGTTGGGTTCTCAGCACCCATGTGGTGGCTCACAACACACTGTAACTCCTGTTTCAGGGGATCCAGCACCCTCTTCTGGGCTCCATAGGCATTGCATACATGTGGCACACAGACATCTGCAAGCAAAATACTCACACACAGAAAAATTATTTAAAAACAAAACAAAATAAAAAAGTAACAGTTCTGGAAAATCATCTGGATATGGTGGCACATGGCTGTGGGCCAGGTATTTGGGGATTGAGGTGAGAAGATCACATTAATCCAGGAGTTCTAGAACAGCCTGGCCAATCCATCTTTTGAAATTCTAGAATTTACCCTGAGTGATTGAAACAACTTTAATTTCGGAAAAATACAGTTCTACATCTCCATGACAACATCTGGATACTAAGGAGGAACATCACCAGAATTAGCTCGGTGGCACACCAGCTTACCTATAGCCAACAGGGCGTCTTCAAAGCTACCAGATGTTTCCGATTTTATGCTCTGTTCAATGTCCTTCTGTGAGATCCTTTTGTACTCATCAAACACTACAATCAATAACGAGATAGTGTGATTTAGAAAACTGGGCTGGTGTGATGACTCGTCTGCTAAAGGTACTTGCAGCCAAGCCTGGCGACCTGAATTCCCTGAAACCCACATGGTGGAAGAAGAGAACTAACAGTCCTCTGATCTCCACATGTGATCTGTGGCGTCTGCATACCCGTATACATGTACTCATGCATGCAGGTACACACACACACACACACACACACACACACACACACAACTCCCTCTAAATAAATGAACACATAAATAAATGTAATAAAAATTTAAATACAGGAAACTAAAATTTATGGAGAGAATAAACACATTTTAAAAGCTTATGCTGCTTAATTTTTTGGCATATTTCAAGAGGAAACCAATTAGTACCGTGGGTGAGGACCCAGACAGGATGTGGCCTGGTGAACTGGGCCCATCCAGGAAGAAGAATGCTGAGATCCCTGGAGAATGTCAGGTACTCTTGCCCAGATCAAGTGGAGAGTCTTTGGGTACACATCTGCCTTTTTCCTATTTCAGCAGACAGGGTCTGGTAGCTCACACCTGTAATCCCAGTACTTGGCAGGTGGAGGGGGGATGGGCAGTTCCTCAGTCACACCTTGAGTTCAAGGCCAGCCAGGACTACATGAGACCCTATCATTTTGAAATGTCAGCCTTGGATGTCACCTATGTCCTCCTCTTCCATTTGGCTCATTAAGACAAGAACAATTCAGCCTCCTCAGAACTGAGTCACATCTGGTAACAGGCAGTTGCTTCTTTTAATAGATTTTTCACATAATTAATTTTTTTTCTTGTTTTTTTGCCAAGGATTTTTGAACATGATGAATATGTTTTCCTCTCTTCTTCCAGAGACTTCTTAGGACAGATATATCTGTTTTGTTTATCTCCTTAGTGGCCTTCGTTGGCATACTCTCTTGTCCCCTCCATCCATGGGATTCTCACAGGGATACCAATGTTCAGCAATTCCCAATCATAACCTTGTCCCAGCAGGGGCCCTCTGAGTGTCCTGCCCTCCAAGGAGATGGTTTTCTTTCTTTTTCTTTTCTTTTCTTTTTTTTTTTAAGATTTATTTATTTATTCTGTGCCAGATCTCATTACAGATGGTTGTGAGGCACCATGCGGTTGCTGGGAATTGAACTCAGGACCTCTGGAAGAGCAGCCAGTGCTCTTAACCACTGAGCCATCTCTCCAGTCCTTCTTTCTTTTTCTTATTTTGTGTAGTCAGGCATGGTGGTGCACACCTTTGATCCTAGCACTTGGGAGGCAGAGGCAGGAGGATCTCTGTGAATTTGAGGCCAGCCTGGATTATGGAGTTGAGTTTCAGGCCAGCCAGGCCTCCACAGTGAGATACTACCTCAAAACAAATTGTGTGGGGTGTAGTATGCTATGTTCTAATGGGTGTGCGTGTGTGTGCAAGCATGTGGAAGCCAGAAGCTGGTGTCAGGTATCTTCTTATTTTTAATTTATTTTAATTATTAATTAAGTAATCTTGATTGTGCTTACCACTGCTTATGCCTGAATTCATGCACATAAAAGCCACAGAAGGATGCTGGGTGTCTTCCCCTCTCACCCATATTCTTACTGCTTTAAGACAGGGTCACTCACTGAACTGGAAGCTCACCATTTCAGCTAGGCTGGCTGGCCAGTGAACTCCTGGGATCCGCCTGTCTCTGCCTTCCCGTACTGGGCTTACAGGCACATGCGGCCTTACCTGGCTTTTTCATGTGCTAGTGTGGGCTTTGAGCTCAGGTCCTTGTGCTTGCCTAGCAAGCACCTCCCACTGAGCCATCCCCCCCCCCAAGTGCCACCTCCCACTGAGCCATCCCCCCCCAAGTGCCACCTCCCACTGAGCCATCCCCCCCCAAGTGCCACCTCCCACTGAGCCATCCCCCCAGCCCACCATCTTATTATTTATTTATTTATTTATTTATTTATTTATTTATTTATTTATTTATTTATTTATTTATTTTGGAGACAGTCCTCACTGCATCTGGAGCTCGCCAATCAGCCAGACTGGCTGGCCAGCAAAGCCTCAGAGATCATCCGTTTCCCCTCTTTCCTGCTTAGGATTACTGGTGCATGCTGGAACCAGCTTTCGGTTTGTTCCCAGGAAGCTCCCCAGAAGCACCTTGATTTGTGTTCTCATGGAGGGGTTCAGATCTCCCTCCAATCTGGGGAGCCCACTGGTACTTTCCGTTTTCCTTTTCATGGGTGTATATTTGTCCAGAATCAAAGACGCTAATCAGACCCCCCACTGTAAACTGAGTGAACGCTTCCAGACAGAAAATTATTAACAAACCCTTACTTCTGGCCATTACTGTTTGTTGGTAACAAGATTATTCAGTTTACACTACCTAAGTGGTGCTTAAAATATTGTCTCTTGGTAAGTTTTGAACAAGTAATTTTTAACTGCCCAACTACAGACATACTTGGAATTACAAATTCTTGGTAAATGCGTCCCAGGACCTGCAGTTGTGGGAAAGTGCCACAAGGGGGAGCTCACATTTGTAACCAGGCAAGGGGAGCCAATAAAAGAAAGCATAAAGCCCCACGTTTCATGGTGGTGTATGAATTATGGACAGGAATAATTGCTTATTATTATTGTTTTTGCCACTGAGGAGTATCTAGAATAATTACAACTTGTAAATGTGTCAAACTTCGCAGTTACGTTGTGTTTTCAATTTAGCAATCCCATTCTCCTCAAATTCCCCACAAGCTTTGAAACTTCATGCCTATGACAGGGAGATGGTGGTTTATAAAATTATGATGCCCATGAAGGTCTAAAGAGCTCATCTACAAGACAAACTGCCCTACTGAGTCCTTACTGCTGTTTACAAGGAGACTTGGCCTGACAACAAATATTCCATAATGGTTCAGTGTTCTTTCCCCCACAAAGAAGTTAAAAGCACATTGCAAAGTTTAGAAATTACCAGAAGCAAATTAGGAGCATCACACAAAGGAAATAAGAAGTGAAATTACCCACGATTCATCTTACTCACTATAACCCCTGAAGAAATCTATCAGTGGTGTCAATAGAAATAAATATCAACTGACATTTGCTTAAATTGGCTCCTCGGGCAGTGGAGGTTCCTTTCTTATGTAAGTAATGGGAAAGGAATGTCTTGGGGCTGCACTAGAGAAGGGACCAGCTGGGAAGGCTGGTTTCCTGGGATAAGGAATGCTAAATTATTATGAACATGTTGTACATCTGTCAATTACTCAAATTAATCATTCAAAATTGGCCTTCATTCTATAATTTGATTCCCACATTTACATGGTAAAAATCTAACAGTTTAGTTTATTTTCTGTGTCATGGTAGGGGAAAGGTCATCAGGAACTGGGGGAGCACTATGATCATGACACATTATATACATATTTTGAATTATTAAAAAATAAATAAAAGATACTTTTCTTTTAAAAGGTTATCAGGGCTGGAAAGATGGCTCAGTGGTTAATAGCACTTGCTGCTCTTACAGAGGACCTGGGTTCAGGTCCCTTCCCAGCACCTACTTGGTGGCTCACAATTGTCTGTAACTCCAGTTCCAGGGGATCTGGCATACTCTTCTGATCTCCAAGGACATGAAACATACACTTTGGTTCATAGACATATATTCAGTCGAAATATTCATACGCACAAAATAAAATAAATTACTTAAAAATTTTAAGGTTATCAACCATTCCAGCAGAATTGAATGAGGTAGTGTGGTAGGTACCCACCATGCAACAGATGGTTCCGATTCCGGGAGCAGAGGATGCTCAGGAATTTCACCTCATCTGTTCCCCATCTCTTCTCTCCAGCCTCATACAGGTCCTGGTGCCAAACAAAGCATGAGTTTAAACACCAGAAAGGATGTGCCAGTACCTGGGCAAATAGTTCTAGAAATTCTAAGAGTCGAGCTGGCTTGGTTTTATTTTGTTAGTTGGAAAGGCAAACATGCTGTACGCACGCACGCACGCGCGCACACACACACACACACACACTCGGTCCTTCAGTTACTTTAACCTCATGATGGCAGGAAACAACACACATTCAGCAGAAATCAGGCTTTAAAGTTTCCGTTTTGATCTTTCCTCGAGCCAGTCTGTATAGTTTGGGACTTGATCACAATGTGAGAGCATCAAGCAAGCAGTGAGCCACGTTCCCAGTTAGCTACAAGGGCAGACGACCAACACACCAGAGTGGACTTCGCTGCTAAGCTCCCCACTGCGAATGCTTTTTCAGCTTACACTAGGTTGGCACAAAACACCATTGCAAGTCTCTGTTTCTGTGTCTCTCCGTGATGTATATGTGATGTGTGTGCGGTGTGTGTGTGTGTGTGTGTGTGTGTGTGTGTGTGTGCTGATTCTGTTTTACAGAAGACCCTGACAAATATCCCACTGTGTTAATAAAGGAAGGCAGATGTGGTCCCGATTTCTGGCACTAGCACATAAGCAGTCATACAGCCCTGGAGACTCTGAGAAGTCCGCGCTGAGCGATACACACACTCCCTTCTTTTCAGTGCAAGCGACAGGTTCTTTTCTGCACGACCCATAGTGGCTCACACCCTGCACACCAAGTGGAATCACTCCACTGCTTAGTTGGGTGTTAGTTAACAATGGAAGGACTAAGATAAATCCCAGGTTTCCAGGTCCTGGTTGTTGTTGTTGTTTGGTTTTGGTTTTGGTCAATGTGAAACCAGCTAGACCCAAATGAGAAAATGCCTCCCTTGGATTACCTGTAGGCGAGTTTGTAGGGCATTTTCTTGATTAATGATTCATGTGAGAAAGGCCAGCCCATTGTGGGCAGTGACACCCCAGCTATGGGGAACAAGCCAGTAAGCAGCCCCCCTCCATGGCCTCTGCATCAGCTCCTGCCTCCAGGATCCTGCTGTGCTTGAGTTCCTGTCCTGACTCCCTTCAATGATGAACTACAATGTGGAAGTGTAAGCCAGATAAACCCTTTTCTCCCCAACTTGACTTTTGGTCATAGTGTTTCATCACAGCAATATAACCTTAACTAAGAGAGAAACAAAGCTATGATGCTTCGTTATTTGGTCTGAACTCAAGCAAAGAGCTTTCTCCGGAGCCTCAATTTCTTTACCTGTAAAATGGGGTAAAACTCCTAAGGTTGTTGTAAGGATTCAATGGTTTGCCTAAGAAAAGCCGTGCAGGGAAGGGGGGTGCTTGGTTCTTACTGATGGTCCACTGTTTATATGCTACTGTCACTATGTTACCTGGCCACAGGGGTTAGTGTCAGGACGGACATCAGAGTATCAGGACAGACAGCAGGGTGTCAGGACAGACAGCAGGGTGTCAGGACAGACAGCAGGGTGTCAGGACAGACATCAGTGTGTCAGGACAGACAGCAGGGTGTCAGGACAGACAGCAGGATGTCAGGACAGAACAGTAGGGTGTCAGGACAGACTTCAGTGTGTCAGGACAGAACAGTAGGGTGTCAGGACAGACTTCAGTGTGTCAGGACAGATATTAGGATGTCAGGACAGAACATCAGGGTATCAGGATAGACATCAGTGTGTCAGGACAGAACAGCAGGGTGTCAGGACAGACTTCAGTGTGTCAGGACAGACATTAGGATGTCAGGACAGAACAGCAGGGTATCAGGATACACATCAGTGTGTCAGGACAGAACAGCAGGGTGTCAGGACAGACTTCAGTGTGTCAGGACAGAAGAGCAGGGTGTCAGGACAGACATCCGGGTGTCAGGAGAGACAGCAGGGGGTCAGGACAGACATCAGGGTGTCAGGACAGACAACAGGGTGTCAGGACTGACAGTGTGCTGGGTCCAGGACAGTAGCCTTCTTTTGAGAGTCACATGATATTTACAGGGCCTACCTCCTGTTCTCTTTAGGGAAGTGTGAAAGGCATAGGCAGCTGCTTCCCCTCTGTATCATTCAGAAGATGCCTAAAATGGCTGGGGACTTAACTCAAGCACTGAGCACTTGCAAAGCACGGGCCAAGACCTCTGGGTTCCAAATACCCAAATACACACACACACACACACACACACACACAAATATACACACACACACACACACACACACACCCAAATATACACACACACACCCAAATAC